GCCGGCCTACCGCCCAATTCGAGCGCGTGGCGAGATGTGCGCATAGCAATATCGATCGCCGGGCGATCACATCTTGCCACGCGCTCGAATTAGGCGGTAGGCCGGCCTAAGACAACGATTTTTAATAATTAATTACTCGTTAACCATTACGAAAATTGCAAAATGGTACAGGACTTTTCCGTTCATCTCGATCCGTTCTACCTTCTCAAAAATTTTGTCGGATATGGAAAGACTCACCCTGTATATTGTCTATATATGTATCTTATTTCTAGCAAAATTGAATTACATGGGTTTATCGTATTCTTATCATGTAGACTCAGTTGCAAATAGAAATACTACAGCTTCGGTAGCTCGCGTGCAGCTAGCTCGCGCACAAATATTCCAGTCCAAACAACAATATCTTTTTCCATCTTGAAGAGTCTGGGGCTTCGGATAAATGTGGTTTCTGAACTTTTCGATTCAATTGAATGGTGATTTTTATCATAAGTGAAGTAAAGGTAGACCAAGCTTGTATTCAGGAGATAAAATATCGTATCCGGCTTTTTACCTTTCTCGTTTTTCAAGTGACAGAATTATTCTAGACGAAAAGAGAGGATGCATTACGCGGAATTATAATTAAATGGGCATTTAAACCACATACTTTTGGCTCGCGTAAAATTAACGTTCTACGATTCGTATGGCTTCGCTCGCGTGAATAATCCAGTTGGGAATATGTAGGGGACCCCGTCCGTGCAATTTGGTCAGCCCGTCACTTTGGAGGGGACACCTTCATTCTGCGAGAAAGAAACTCGCTTAATCGCACCGCGCCCGTCGCCGTCGCGCCTAGACAGCCCGATTGCCGGAGTAATATTTCAGACATTCTAACCCGTCGCCACCGGCAATAAGGCCGCCTTGCCCCCGACATTGCCGCCGTCGCCGTCGCCGTCGCCGCCGCCACTTTCCCCAATTTCCACCCCCTGAGTTACGGCTCCGGACTAATTTACATGACTTGCACCGAACTAATTCGAGCGGCGGTCGATAGCGCGCCGACTAAAGGGGTTAAAACGACGTTTACTTTATTACGTAATCACGGGGAAACCTAATATTGACAAAGGCGCGACGGTGGCGGCGGCGCGAGGGGACGGCGACGGCGGTGGCGCGGTACGAGATGCCTTACCGATCTCCCCCGTTCGCTCCGCTTCAAAGAGCCGCCGGGGTGGCTATCCGTCCGCCCGTCCTCGTTGTGATGCCGCGAGTCTTTGCGCCGCAGTTTGTTACTTACGATTTGCAATTCCGCCGGTGTTTGAGTTTACGGATTGAGATTTATGGACTCACAATCGGAGGGCGAGAGGGGGGAGGAGGGGGGAGGGGGAGGGCTGGAGCGAGGCGAGACCCGAGCCGACGCGTGTGGCTACGCGCACGTTCGCGAGAGGCGTCTCGTTTGCATCTTAATCAAGCGACCGTTTCATTAGCGATAAGTCCTCGGCATGCCCGGTTAATTAATGCCACTATAATGTCGCCGCGACGTTTAACCCTTTGACGCGTTACGTCATCCTCTTTTCGCTGGCTCCGCACGGCTAGCGTTATCAGCCATCGGGTAAATCGCGCACGCTTATCGATCATCGCGTGTTTACCGGTCACCAACGGACGGGTCTGCGATCAGATTAATCATTGTCAATAATTTATTTGTAAGGATTGCAGTAAGAAAAACTTACTGAAGATGACAGATCTATCTTCTTGAAAGAAAATGATTGATTTAGCAGCGCGGTAGATTCTTAAAAGTAACAGCTGTATTTTCTTTTTAACG